TAAAGTGTTTGATTTTAAGACGGCAAAATGGAATTTGTGTTGTAAAAATATTAGATGAAATAAGCATTCCTTAACTTTTCCAGAGGACACAGCAAGGTTTGTAAATTATTATTTCCTCTTAAATATTGTTTGGGTACCAGTATATGATGTCATTTATATGATACTTCTACAATAATAAGATAACCAATTATTTATTTTAATAACTAATTTACAATAATATAAAATTAACCAAACGGTATTAAATTTCTAAATTCTCGAACTCAACCCCATATTGATGTTTCAGTTGTAGAATCTTTTCTTTAACTGCCAACTCTTTTGTGTCTGTTTCTCTTTTCTCTGTTTCTGTTTTTCTAATTTTAAAACGTCTCTACTTAACTCTTCCTTTTCTTTTCTAATTTTAAGAATACTTAATTTTATTTTTTCCTTCTCTGAATCTTCTTCGCACTTATTATTCTTTTTGTGATGTGGGACTTAAAGGCAAACTAAATGCACGACCAAATACTTACCATGTCGAGATAGCATTATGGGTTTTTTCCTGGTTTTTCCCTCATAATTTACTATGGAATCACTAACAGGAGAATTTTACTGTCATCATGGCATGTGTTTGTCTTTTTAAAGATGAATTACATGCTATGATTTTTTTCTGACAGATATTCTCAAGTTAATGTTGATTTCATGTAATGGAATGAACTATCTTATAAGTAAAGTCGTTCCAAGAGCACAACTCAACAATATTGGCAATATCATTTTAAAGTCGTCTACTTTAAAATGCATAATGTATGTCTGAATTGTCAATATAAATGAGTCAGATAAAATTAAATTATTAGAAGAATTTTTCACTAAGTAACAAAAAAACAAAATTTGTTTTTAGTGTTTGTATTTTGAGAACAATTTCTGAAGTGGAAATTGAAATGTTAATAAACATATTTTAACCTTTAATTGGGGCTTATTCCCAGTTAAATAGTAATTAATTTAAAATGCCACAAGAAAATAGCTTCAGAACAACATTAATTACATATGTTTTACCTTTCTGTTACTGCTTGGCATTTTGCGGGGTGACAAGAAATTTAACATATCTTGGCAACAGATGTTCTACCATCGCATCAGTTACTTCTGTCAATACTTTACTAAAAGTGGACCTTTCCATGGTAAAAAAAATAAAATATAGTATATAATAAAATAAAAAGTAAATAAAATATAACATATTGGAATATATTCACTCAATTCTTAATATAAACAACATATCTTGGTTTCATGTGCTAAAGCATTTGATCTTTGCACTTGTCTTAGATGGGGCTGGAGACTTTCGAACCAAATGCAAAGACAATTCCCTCGATAACTTAAATATCTTTTAAAATACGGCTTCCACTAATTCCACTGGATTTACCAAATCTCGCAAAAGTCTTCTCTGAATGTTTTCTTCATCCCTATCAATAAAATATTTTGTTTACAAAACATAACCTAAATAAATAATATACTATCAAAGAATATAGACGCTTATAAGCGTCTATATTCTTTGATACTATAATTAAAAATATCTTTAACAAAACCTTCTAATAGCATCATCTAATTCTTCTAATAACTCATCGTTTAGAATCCGGCCAAAATTCTGGACTAAATAATTCATTTTATATTTTTATTAACTACACGTTATTCCCATCTACAAATAGTATGAGATTAAATCATCTCTTTAAATTGAACCTGTTATCAGAGAATATAATATATTATTATGTTAGCAAGATAACGTAAAACGTTACCACATAACGTTTTTTTTAACAAACGTTATCTGTGATTACATGATCATGATACAGTCTAGGAACGTGGGAGCAGTGTGCCAATGCAAAACTAGAAATTATCCGAATGTTGGGAGCAAAATTATCCGAAATTATCCGAATGTTAGAAACCAAATATCCGAAATTATCCGAATTCATAAAAATCGAAAAAGAACACTAAATTAAATGACATAATTGACATTGACAGTTGACATTGACCCATTGGTAGATGCCAAATGACAATCAATATGAGAAATGATGGCAAGAAAACAAGTTTAGTTTGATAGAAATATATTTATTTAAATAAAAAACAAAAAACTCCGATTGAAATGAAATTCGATTTTTGTTTTGTCAATTTCAAAGATCCCTGGATTTTTGTACAGTAAAACAGTCAACCAAAACTATACTATTTATCAACAGAGGGCGCTGAAAATAATTCATAGGTTCCATCATCTTCGATTATATGAGAATAGAGTTTTCAGTTCTATGTACATTCGCAAATTTAGCTATTTAAGCTTATAAAAATTTAAATTATATTTAAAAATAAAAAGTCGATAGACCCTTGAATTATCCGAAATTATCCAAAAAATTGTTCAATCCGAAAATTATCCGATGGTCCCAGAAATTATCCGAAAATCGGATAATTATCCGGACATTGGCAACACAGCGTGGGAGCGATTAATTACAGGGACCCGATCCGTCAACTGCGCATGTGCAATCTTTGAAATGACATCAAAAGTGACAACGAGGGACAATCTCCAACCTAAAAAAATCTGAGCAAGTTTATAAAAACGATTAGGAATAAAAATAGAAAATTTTACAATATTTCTTTCTACAGGTACATAGTTGTTACATTCATAACTAAAATATAGAGAATAAATAACTTGTACTCTGAGTAATAAGAAAGAAAATCACATTAACCTAATGTATATTGACGACTTTTATATTAACCTTCCAAGATTGTTTATTTTGTTGTAGTAGCTTATGGAAATTGTTAACTTTGCACCAGATAGTTTAAAATATTTAACGTAATACATGTTTATGAGTGAAGATAAGGATTATAATAAATTATTATATAAGTATTATTATAAACTTAAATTTATTTATTGTTGTTGAAAGTAAACAAAGTATTAATGAACTAAATTTAAATGACATATTACAGTTAATGGGTTAATCTTGTATGGGTTGGCAAAATCGTTGTCTTCAGGTGGATGTTTTCAAAAGTTGTCTCGTTCTAAAACGTGTTTAAAATAGTTTAATTCTTCAATACTCTTCCATAAAAAACTGAAGTAATGGCGGACATAAAACAGAGTGTTTGTATTTTTCCAACAACTTTCATAATTTCTGTAAAATAAACTTCATTAATGTAGAAGTCCTTTCGGCTTGAAAAAAAAGCTACTGGAAATCTTCCAGACACTTATTTAAATGCACATTTTCTCCACATTGCATCGGCGTAGAAAGCTTAGACTGATTTGAGAAAATTTTACCACATTCAAAACAGTTCACTGATATATTTACTAATTACGTAAATAGGGAACTATTCAAAACAATTTTTATTTGACAATGCAAGATACCGCTTAAAATTTTCATTTGAAGGTTCGAAATATTTCGAATGCAGTCGTTTCGCACATGCGCAGTTGACGGATCGGGTCCCTGTAATTAATCGCTCCTGAATCCTAGTCGTTTTGAAAAGGAGACCAAAAAGTGGCCTCTAATGGCGGACATATCCGGAAAAGCACAGGCGCTAAATTTAAATTTTCCAACACTTGTTAAACACTAGCTGTAAAATATTTTTTCAGACAAGAAAGTTTTAATTAAATATTAACGATAATAGTCTAAAAAGTGACACACTTGGTAAAAAACTTCAATATAAATAAAATTTCATGTGACAGTTGGGACAAACAATAACATAACCAAACTAAATTTGACTTCTTAAACAAGGAAAGAGACTGTCTTTCTTTGTTTAAAGTGGCCTCTCAAGATAGCACTTCCTGTCTCACAATATTTTTGTCCCCACTACCTTTACATTCCCTCTTTTATCTTTTTGCTCGATGGTTTGTCCAACTGTCACATAAAATTTTATTTATATTGAAGTTTTTTTACACAGTTGTGTCCACTTTTTAGACTATTATAGTTATGTTTAATTAAAACTTTTCTCGTCTGAAAAATATTTTTATAGCTATTGTTTAATAAAGTGTTTTAAAATTTAAATTTAGCGCATTTGCATTTCCGGATATGTCCGCCATCATGAGGCCACTTTTTTGGTCTCCTTTTCATAACGATTAGATTCCCTCTTTTATCTTTTTGCTCGATGGGGAGGACGCATCGAGCAATAAGACCAAAGAGGGTATGTAAAGGTAGAAGGGGTATACATATTGATAGACAGGAAGTGCCCTCTTGAGAGGCCACTTTAGTACAGTGATAGACTGTCTCTTTCCTTGTTTTAAGACATCAAATTTAGTTTGGTTATATATTGTTTGTCCCAACTGTCACATGAAATTTTATTTATATTGAAGTTTTTTACCAATTGTGTCACTTTTTGACTATTATCGTTAATATTTAATTAAAACTTTCTTGTCTGAAAAATATTTTTACAGGTATTGTTAACAAGTGTTGGAAAATTTAAATTTAGCGCCTTTGCATTTCCGGATATGCCCGCCATCAGAGGCCACTTTTTTGGTCTCCTTTTCATAACGATTAGATTCCCTCTTTTGTCTTAATTGCTCGATGGGAGACGCTTAGACAGAACATTTTGGTAAAGGAAATTGATATTGGTATGACCTAAAATGGAAATTTATGGAGAAATGTAATTAGTGAAACCGACCCGCATAGAGATAAAGGCAAAAATAAGGATTGCCTGTTATAATAAAAATTATTTTAGATTGACTTTTTAATATTTCAATATGTATCGATTTTGACTCTCATATGCAAACTTTACCTACACTATACTTCAACAAGGTCCTCATTGCTGTTGGACTTTTCGTTTATAAGCGAACTCTAGAAAGTGTATAAGTCAATAATAAACAAAATATAGTCAATATAAGCCTCCAATCTATAGCTCCGCCTCTGCGTGAAGATAACTTGATAGCACATGCTAGTTACAAAATAAATAAAGATTGGTTTCTCTCGCTAAGGAAATTAAAATAACCAAATTTTGTTTTGATTGATCTGTCAAAGTCTAAAATCCTAACCCTAAACGATATAGTTTTATACAAATTTAATGGAATACAAACACAAAGTTTATATAAAATACAATTATAATTATTAATGTGGAATTTTAGTTATAAGAAAGGCCCGTTTTTAACAAGGAACATCGACTGCTTAATAATACGGAATGACCAAAAAACGTAGGCTCTCTGGATCATCACCCATCAAAATTGAAGTAAAAGAGGAAAATGTTGGAAATGATTATCTTATGGCTAAAGGAAGACTCATAGGCGGTACTGAAACAACTCACTGAACAATCGTCAGATGATGAAAGTGGTTCTTCTGATGACAATAAAAGAATTCACAGGTAATATAATTTTAAAACTCATAATTATATTAGTTTCCATTTTTAATCGGAACAATAGAAATAGAGTAAGATCCACATATTGCTCCACAAGTACTATAGTTCGTGTTACAATTCTGCTAATGTCTCATCCCATTCTATTTCTATGTTTATCTTAAGTCTTTATATTGTATTTTTCTTTGAGCTACCTTATATACTACCCTTTGATACTACTTTTAATGAATGTTAAGCTATCTTGAATAAATCTAAATTCATGTTTATATTTTCACATATCATTTATTCTTCCAAATATTTTGGTACATATCCCATCATTTATTTCTTCAAAAATTTTCAATGGTGAGTGGAGGTAAGTTTTGCTGAATTATGAGGCTATAATTTATACATCATTATTTTTGAGTACAATTTACCAGTGGTATCCCCCTGAAGTACTTCCTTGTTGAGTATCATTCGTGGTTGATACCCATTCAAACTATTAAATCTGTCTTTATGTTATGTAGCACTTTAGATATGACCAAAGCATAATAAACTGTTCTTAAAGCCTAAACAGACAGTTGTGGAATGATTAAAGGCCCTAAAGTATTTTAATGAATTTACGTTATATTGATGTTATAATCGTGTTGTACCGGGGTGGTCCAATAAGCCTGATCTCTCGGCTTTATATATGCACAACCTATTGATGTTATAACCTTTAGTAGAGAACAAATTTCCTTAGTAAAAGGGTGGCCAAGAGAAATCACAGGTGGAAATAAATAACTTTCAATGTTCTGAAAACTTTGAAAACCAGTTTTTTGGGAAATATGCCCAATTGTTTACCAAGTATTAAATAAGTAAACTAGAAAGAGACCTAAATTCTGCACAAAGTTGTTTAAGTATTTTTTTATTTTTTCAAATAGAAGGGTGGGGTGAGAGTGGGAAAGTATTTCTGGATAAAGACCCTTTAACTTTGGTTTGGAATTAACCGATTTATAACGATGTTTAGTTGTCATTAGAAAGAGTGTGGATGAAATTAATTCTACATCTACTATAAAATAATTTGCATTTGTTCTAATTGCCTTAGGTTGAAGGTACTTTCAAATAGAAATAAATTAAAATTTATTTTTTCTTCAAAAATGTTTTAATGTGAAAACTCCTATTTAAGTATTGTAAAATGGCACAAACCACATGTTGTTAACTTTTGTCTATCTAGAGATATGAAATAAAAAACACATGAACAGTAAGGTAAGTTTTAGTATTGAATCACCCTAGTATTATAAATTTAAATTAAAAATCTACAGTTTGTAGGTACTTTCAAATATGTTGTTATAGCAGTAGATATCTTAATGTTGATACTTATTGTGACCATTGTTATTTTCTCATATGAATAAAAGTACGTTTTTTCGAAACTAAGTAGGACTACAACATTGAATTTGAATGAGGAGATTTATATTTGTTTCATTTATTGACAGCAGTATCATGAACATTGTTTAGAAGTTGGTAGATTATAATTCAAATATGAAAGATTGTTCATATGAGTTATCAGTACTAATAATTCATGATGAGTATCATCAAATGCAGACTATTACCCTCTACCCTATGACAATTAAAAACTAAGAGGTACTGTGTTTATTAGTAGATGTAAATATAAATCATTCTCAACTATTTTTTAATAATACTGCATTTCGTTAACAATCGGTGATCCAAAACCAAAGTTATAGGTATTTTCACACAATAACTTCCCACTCTCCCCCACCCTTTATTTGAAAAAAATAAAAAAATGTAGTGTTAGACAACTTTTGTGCGGTATGTAGGCCTCTATCTAGTTTACGTATTCTTTAACAACTTGGTATAATTGAGCATATTTCCCAAAAAACTGGTTTTCAAAGTTTTCATATATTAGCCGAGAGATTGGCTTATTGGACCACCGGGTACATACTGACGTTATTCTTTTCTAGAAGTGGTATATCACTAAATAAACAAATACAAAAGGTTTCCATATGTATGAGTAAAGACAGTCTATTATTTCTTTTAGTACAATTAGTGGATCTATTCATTGTAGTCTTCTTGATTAATATAAGGAGAATACATCCAAAACAAATAAAAACCAAGTGTTTTCAGAATAACTACACTACCTCGATGAATGAGATTTATTCTTTTTACTATTAAAACAGTTTCAGAATTATTATGTTCTCTAATGGTTGTGAAAAAACAATTATTCTTCTGTACAATTTATTAATAATTAAGCATTAAATTTTCATTATACATAAAATATTCACTCATGTGATTTAACGTTTAGAGAAAACAGAAAGCGAAAAGTTGAAAATATGCCTACTCCATACCATCATACATATGTAATGAAATTATTTGATAGAAGCGTTGATTTGGCTCGATTTGAGGAGGATACTCCGCTTTATCCAATTTGCCGTGCTTGGATGCAGAATCAACCTAGAAATCCACAGCCCATTATTAAGTAAGTATATTTGGCATAACTTTATTTATTAATAATTTAACTAGTAACTTTTTAGTGTAAAATTAGTGTACTAATGGAAATTATTTAGCGTAAAATTAAGCATTAAGCTAGTATCCGTAATTATCTTTATTTTTGAACCAAATTGATGAAAATCTAATATATAGAAGTAGAAGCATGAATGCAGCATTTGTATTTGTATATGTAGCACACAATAAACATTGAATATGTTTGTGGGCTCACCAAAGAAACGATGTCCACGTTGCTTCAGAATCAGAACGAAGCTGTTCGGGTGAGTTCATTAGGACCATTCTGACTAGCTCAGACACAAAAGAAAAATTGAAAATAAGAAAAAATATGTAGATAATAGCTACTAGAGCTAAACAAGAAATATGGGATAAACATTACAAAAGAAAAACCAAGTTATTTGGCCAAAAAAAGACAGAAACTAAAATTTATGCCGAAAGAGAAGGGCGCCACTTTGTCTTCTGTGAGGAACAAAGAAACCTCAAAAACAAAATATATATAAACAAATACAATAAACAATATAACTTAAATTAAAGTATTTGAACCACACTTACTCTCGTATGTGAGCGGAAACATTTATCAAATATTAGGCGTGGGCTAAGAGAAAAAGAAATATTGTTTAGAGAAATTAAAAAAAGAAAAAATTATTGTTAACATACTAGCCATAAGTAGTATCAATCAAAAACAGACAAAAAAAGGGACATATTAATTTAGGTCTTTCAAACAGTAATGTATATCATAAATTAATAGCTTTGTAAATCGTTATACACCGGGTGGTGAATCGCGCCAAACGGCCTATTAGGAAAGTCATGGGAAATTCTGAAAAATAACATAGATGCGCCTCTTATTTGCAATACCACTCACTTATTTTAGTGCAAAAGGGACGTTTAATAGTGCTCATTATAAAGCTTATATTCAAGCACTACAAAACTCTGTTTTATTAGAATCCTAAAAATGCATCTGCTCGTCTCGCTAGATGATTGCCAGCCACACAATTAAATTTCAGACAAAAGAAAAAACGGCTTTGATCTCTAATATCTAGCATAATAATGCACTTATAATACATTACAAGAAAAACAAATTGAGTAATTTTTTACCCCTGCTACAATTTGTATTTTGTTTTAAATAAAAATTTTCGATGAAACGTATATATTGGAGATGATTTTGCAAAAAACCCGAGAGAAAAACGTGACCAAATTGCGAATTTTTCAATGCAATAATGTAATGTAAGCGTAGCAAGTGAGTGAGAAGTTGGAATAAAGGGATAATGGAACAATAAGTAGCATAGAAAAGATAATAATTATTCGAGATAATAATATCATACTCATTCCAAATTAAATAAGGTATAAATTAATACCGTTAACTTATCCATTATAAAATCTATACAAAGTATAACAATCTGGACCTAGTTTATTGCATTGTTTGATAAGTGATTTGAAACGTCTAAAAAGCACGAAACATCCGTGACCCAAATAGGCAGCAATAATAACAAAACTGCAACTCAGCGAACCTACACCTTGGTTCAAGAACCGTCGTTGAAAGTACGACCACACTAAAACAGAAAAAACGAGGAACGCCAAGTCAGTAGTATAGTCAGTCATCAGTAGTGATAACGAAGGCACCGAGTGACTGCGCCCGTACAGGCATTATTGCCATGACGCCGCCCGGTCGCCGACGCGGTACGTCGGTTACCCAGACAGTAGTAATCAGTAGTTCAGTAATGGGCGATCAGTAATTGCAAGCTCCGGCTTGGACGCGATAGCGTCCAGTACGCCGAACAGTACGGCGTGACAGGTCGGTATTTCCGGGGGCCGGGATATCTACTTCTGTCCGAGAAATTCGCGTGTATTCCGTTATGTTGACGCTCGTAAAGTTCGCTAACCCTCAACTGCCGAGAGTCCAGAAGACTGAAACGTGTCGTGTGTTGAAGCCCTAATATACCATAAGGTAACAGATATCTTAAACTAACCTGCTGTAATTATATTTAACCTCTATCAACTTTACACTTAGTCTGCTACATCGTCACCCGACGCGCAGAATACCGTGTTAACGATTGTAATTAGGAAACTCAGGTAATTTCAAAATAATTTGACCTAATATTTTTTTTAATGTTCCGTCTGTCCGACTCACAATAGACTAGGAGAACACGAGAATTCTGCGAATACGACATAACTCCGGCTTCAAAAGGTAAGCCCCTAACACTCTACTCTTTACAGACCTGAGACCGAGGGTTCTCTACCCCTATCCCAAATCCCTTATCTTCTTCGTAAATCCACGAAGACGAGACCAGCCCTCCAGACCAGTGTGACACAAATTCCGTGCAGCCGCTCGCAGGGTTAAGCATCCCTTGAAGATCAATTTATTATTACATTGGTGACAGTCTTTCAGGACCCTATACATAGAAGTCCCTTAATCCCTCTCCACTTCTCGTAAATATTCTGTAGCAGATATTACATTGGTGAGACACGGTCCCGTTGGGGAAAATTCGAAATTAGGATTATTAAGTCACGTTCTTCAGTATCCTTGTACACTTAGGCAAGTTTTGTAAAGCAATAAGAAGCCTTCAATCGTTTTTCATTTCGCCAGTGACATTCCAATTTTTTTTTCTTCTCTTTCCTAAGACGGCAACAGATTAAAGAAACAGTGACGTATCCAGTAAATATTGTGTGGAGTGCAGGACTCCCTCTTCTTGGAAGAAATTCCTTTTTCTCTCTTTGTTATATAAACTTGTTAGTGGTTTTACACAAATTATTCGTATATAGGTAATTTTTATTGAGTCTTGTATCACTGGAAAATAACCTCATATCAAATTCCTTCCGTGAGACCATAGAATCCTAAATTAAGATACGGTGAATTGCTTTTAATGATTATGTGAAGAGATACAAGAACAAATTTTTTCAAAAAATACATATAACACATTAACATGATGTCTCTATTATAAATGTTTTTAATTACCATAATAGCACTAAAAATATAATCTATACTGTCATAACGAACATTAAGAGAAATATGCATAAACAGAGATTAGTAATTATCATCGATTCTAGTTAATTGAGATATAATTATTCGAAGAAATAAAAAAATAGTGTTTACCTAACTATTGAATATAAAGATGTAAGTTAGTAGTCAAGATCACGTTCATTTGAGTGTACGAGTTAGTGCTTTCATTTCAAAGCGCAAACATATAAATTCTTTAAATATTGTTTTAACTAACAAACGGTTTTACATAAATATTATCAAATTCTTTTTTTAATGTATCAAAGTGAAAGTGAAATATGATACTATTGCTTCGACGTGGTTTGAAAATTATTAAACGCGCTTGTCAGTATATACACAAAAAATTAGATAATGACTTTGCGAAAAGTAAATTGGGATAATTGGATTTTATAAATAACGTTTCAATTCGTAAAAAGGAAAAGATTTATAGAGTTTAATTTTTCAAAAACAAAAAATTAATACTAACAACCTTATTTTTATTTAACTATTGATTGATTGGGGGGGAATCGATTATATTGATTTGATATTTGATTATTTATACAGATTTGTTTTTAAGTTTTAGGCCAGCTATATTTCTAATTCTTTTAATTTAACCAAAATTTAAATTCTTTATACAATTGCGAGTTTAACTGCATAAATTGGCACAATCATACTGAGATGGACATATAAAAGAGGAAAAGAATTTTAATGGAGCTTTGGAAGATAATTGACCGTGGCGTCAGAAAATCTTTTTCACTACATTGGGAATGATTCCCGAACATATAAGTTCGGAAATGGATGCATCGCAAAAAAAAATGCAAAGAAAGCCACGTAAAGTGGTCCTTTGGGCTCTGGGCCCATATTATGTTTTTTTTAAAAGAAAATTTGAGGTCGATTCTTTGGTCAAACCGTCCTATAAGTGATTTTGACAAAACGTATCTTGCGAGACACTTGAGGAGGCCGTGCTTACAGTTATGTACCAGGAAAAAAGTGCAAATTGGACAGGAAGACCTATAAGGCCTTCACTGAAAGCCACTGAATCGTTGCTAAGGCAAGGACTCGCCTGCTGAAGACGGGGATATAATTCAATAGTTAGTTACTTATCCGTGTAATAGTTAAACACTTTATGGTCACATTTATTTATGTATTTATGGAACGCTACTCTGAAGGTAGAAGAGTTTAACGCCAGGGGTTTCTTTGCTTTTGAGACAAAGAAGCAGAACCAATATAATAAGAAGGAAGAATTTAGTGGAACACATGTGGGATGCCACAGGTAATAGAGGCCATAATCTCACACAGCATGCCGTACGGTGATTACAGTGCCAGATAGTATTATTTTGTTTATCAGGGCATGGTGGGCAAGCTGTATATGGTTGTCGACCTAAGGCGGTGATATACTTACGTCAAGTAGGAGGCTCGCTCAAAGGGGATAATAAGCTAAGGGTGGTACTGGAATCCCAACCCGCTAAGACGTCCCGCGCGCACCAGACACGACACCATAACAGTATCTTCCAGGATTGTAATTAAAATGCGCGCGAAACGAATCTGGAATTGTGATTTTTCGTTAATAAAGTAAACGGAAAAGTTAAATGAAAAGGATGAATTTATAATTGAATACCCTTCCACAATGTTACAGGAAGGAGTATGGAAGAATATATAGTGATTATCATAGTACCAGATATATAGGGGAGAAGATTATTTCTGGAACGGAATTATGAATTAAAATATTGAGAAATATGTGTAATGTGAAGAGATGCGACGACTAGCCAGGGGCACGTGAAGCATAAAAATCAAAAAAAGTGTTATGCAAAACACAGAAGAATAATAATATAGAAAAGCCGGAAACCCATCCATATTGGTCCTGGATGAAAAAGGGAAATGAGTTATATAGAAAAACACAGGGCGAATATACATATTTAAATTTGAATATTTGAGAGAAATCGGAAGTGGAGGACAAGGTATATTGTGTGAGACTGACGTACGTCCAAACAGGGTCTTAT